GAGCTCTGGTGGCCTAGTGGCAGGAAACTGCACTGCAATCCCAGAGGTGTGCGGTTCAAATCCACCAGACAATCTGCTGAAGAAGGAGAAACAATTGCCTCCTGTACCAGTCAGATCCGATTTGACGGTAAACTCAATCAATCAATCAATAAAAAGATGGGATGGCCAAAGGACTCTGAGAAGGTGAGGCAAGGGTATTCCCAAAAAGCAGAGACAGCCTTCCCCTGGAGCTAATGCCCTGAATTCCTACCTCCAGCTCCCTGGACTCTGGGAGAGGGAACTCTGGTGGCTCAGTGGGAAATCACATGGGAGGAGATTATCTTTCTCCCACGCAGCACAGCTGCTGGATAGGACCCCAGGTTGGCAGCACAATTCCTTACCACTAAGCCGCCAGAACTCTCTTTATTTTGAAAACACCGCAAAAAGTCATCCACCTATTGAGTAAGACTAGTAGGATCAAAGGCCATTTAAGGGCCTTGAGGTCCTACTTGAAAGCAAAGTTGATTTTCCCTAGAGAAGACAAAATAAGTATGGACTACTTTGAGTGTTGAATGGAGCAAGCACACTGAGTGGGTTAAAATGAGGAAGGGTGTGCGTCAGGGTAGTATCCTTCCTCCATACCTATTCAATCTGTATGCTGAGCAAAGAAGTCATGAAACCTGACTCTGTGAAGAAGAATGTGGCATCAGGATCAAGAGAGTCCCCTGCATCATGCGGACGATAATAACTCTGATTGCTGAAAGTGGGGAGGATATGAAACACTTGCTGCAGAAAATCAATATGGATTACATCTCAAAATCAAGAAAACAAAGATCCTCACCACAGGCCCAACAGTCAACAAACTGATAGATGGAGAAAGGATTGAAGCTGTCAATTATTTCATCTTGCTTGGATAAACAATCAACACCTTTGGTACCAGTAGTCAGAAAATCAGGAGATAATATTGCTTTGGACAAGTCTGCTGTCAGGTGAAAGGACCAAACTCAGTTTCTGGTAAAGTACAGTTAACCCCACCCCACCCGCTTGGGTGGTTTTTAACAAACAATCTATCCCGTTGTGGATCTTCCTGTGGTAAATCCCACCCTGATTGATCAACTGCCATAAAGTGGAATTCTTCTTTGTAAGGGCACAAGGGATTTTTCCACATTCCTGTATCTGAAGTAACCAATAAGATTCAAATAGGTTTCCAAACTGTTTCCCTGAGCTATATGGCTAGCCA